GGGTTGCAACTTCTTTGGAGGATAGGGACATAATTCAAAATGACCTTAGCAAGTTAGAGAAATGGTCAGAGGTAAACAGGATGAGGTTTAATAAGGAGAAATGCAGAGTGCTCCACTTAGGAAGGAACAATCAGTTCCATACATACAAGATGGGAAGCGACTGTCTAGGAAGGAGCATGGCGGAAAGGGATCTAGGGGTCATAGTGGACCACAAGTTGAATATGAGTCAACAGTGTGATGCTGTTGCCAAAAAAGCAAATATGATTCTAGGTTGTATCAACAGGTGTGTTGTAAGCAAAACTCGTGAAGTCATTCTGCCGCTCTACTCTGCACTAGTTAGGCCTCAGCTGGAGTACTGTGTCCAGTTCTGGGCGCCACATTTCAAGAAAGATGTGGAGAAATTGGAAAGGGTACAGAGAAGAGTGACAAGAATGATTAAAGGTTTAGAGAACATGACCTATGAAGCCAGGCTTCGTGAACTGGGCTTGTTTAGTTTGGAAAAACGAAGATTAAGGGGGGACATGATAGTGGTTTTCAAATATCTAAAAGGGTGTCACAAGGAGGAAGGAGAAAATTTGTTTCTCTTGGTTTCTGAGGACAGGACAAGGAGTAATGGGCTTAAAGTGCAGCAGGGGAGGTTTAGATTGGACATTAGGAAAAAATTCCTAACTGTCAGGGTGGTCAAATATTGGAATAAATTGCCAAGGGAGGTGGTGGAATCTCCCTCTCTGGAGATATTTAAGAACAGGTTAGACAGACATCTGTCAGGGATGGTGTAGACGGAGCTTGGTCCTGCCTTGAGGGCGGGGGGCTGGACTCGATGACCTCTCGAGGTCCCTTCCAGTCCTATTATTCTATGATTCTATACCCCCAGCCCTCCCTCCCCTGCCCAGACCCCACACCCCTAATCTCCCAACCCCATGCTGGCTCCCCGAACCCACTCCTGCACCCGTTCCTCCCAGCTCCTGTAACCTCACCTCAACCCCACATCCTCACACTGAGCTCACTCCAGCACCTTACTTCTTGCCTAGATCCCACATCCCCACCCTGGCCCACTAACTGGAAGCTCCCTCCTGTGTACTGAGCTCATTTTTGGCCCTACCCCAGAGCCCACAAAATCTACTATCCTCAGTCCCAATATGTTCTGGAGTAGAGTTTAAGGGTAGTGAGGTGAATATCTGTTTTCTGGTTCTTGTGCATCTCAGTTGGGTTCCACATCTGTAAGGTTTTTAGGGGATTTTTTTCCCCCTCTCCTCACTTTGGAGGAGGCGTTTAAGGCAGGGAAGCCACTTACCTGGGCCAGTGGCAGGCAAGAAGGCAAAGCGATATATGGCTGCTGCCAGTGGTGACTCTGCAATATAGCTCTCCCTTGCACCCACTGACCCCGTTGGTGACTGTGAAGATCACATCCTTCCTTTCTCTGGCCCCATCCTTTCCATGTTATGGAAAACAATCAAATTCAGGCACATCCCAGTCTCCTGGCACAACCAATCTCTGACCTTTAAGTTACATTAAGAGGAAGCTACATACCAAAGTTGGTGGTCCTAGCTCTTACCGTTTAGGAAGAGTTGCTGAACAAATGGTCTCAGACAGGAACAGAGACAGGTGGACTCTCAAAAGCACAAATCTCTCTGTGTGCATGTGTTTTAAATTTATAAAAGAACATCCCACTCAAAGGCTTGCTGTGTGAAAGGGGTTGCCAATACAAAACTTTGAGAACCGCTATTTTATAGCAATTGAATTCTTGGAGTCTGTCTCGCTTAATGAAGAGAAGGTTAAGAAATGACTTGACTACAGTCTTAATATCTCTTTGGGCATCAAATAACTAATAATGAGATCTTCAGTCTTGCAGAGAAAGATATAACAAATCCAACAGCTGGATGTTGCAGCTATAAAAAAAAAAATCAGACTGGAAATAAGCCATACATTTTTAATGACACGAGTAATTAACCACTGAAACAGTTTACAAAAGGTTGTGATAGATTCTCCATCACAGACAATTTTTTTTCTAAAAATATCTGCTATAAGAAATGTTTTGGAGAAATGGCTTTTATTGTACAGGAGATCGAATTAGATAATCGTAAGGATCCCTTCTGGCCTTGGAATCTATGAATCTTCTCCCTGAGAGACATCAACCATTTGCATGGCTTCAACTATCATGAAACTCTCAAATTTACCTTTTCACAACAATCCTCTCTATGCCCAGTCTGGCATATCTGTCTCTTATCTGGATGTCTGACATCTGTTCATGGTTTACATAGCCAGACAGAACTGTTTGCTCATTATATCTTCACATGAGTAACACCCACATGCAGTACAGTATGCAATAATATTCCATGCCAACAGTTGAAATTACAGAATATACACATTGAGCATGTACAGGCCCAAAGAATATAAAAACCCAGTGCTGCCACTCTCAGAACAAATATAGCCTACAAATTCTGTTTTTCTATCAACCACTATGAGAACTACTGGCTTCAGATATATACAAGCTATTGTGAATCCTTGATACAAGTAAAGTACTTGTAATCAGCCAGATAGTTTGAATTTTCACAGCTGGTAAAGTAAATGAAATTCTAACTATAATATGGTTCCTTTAAGACAAAAAGCAAGACTTATGTTTAGATAGCGCCCAACATTACCTTCAAAATCAGAAGACTCCTTTGGCAGATTTGCAGCGTTAGATTTGTCTATATACAATGAAATTCAGTCCTGTTGTTAAAGTTTCATCAGGAATTACACTACATTTTTCCATAGGCCTTTACATATGAAACATCCTTTCTGGCACTGACGACTTTTACTTTAAGCCCAATACACTTCTATTGTATCACATTTCTTTCTATATTTGCTGTCTCTTAAAAACATTTACATTTCAACAAAGGGTTGCTCCTTCCCAGCTCATTCTTCTTCTTACTGGATTACATACTGAAGTCACAACATTGAATTTGTGATATTCTGAATTAAATGTATAATAAATTAATATAAAAAACTGTGATTTGCGTTTGTAACATAGTATTGCATTTCCATGGCAACAATGTGCCACAAAGGATACAATACCATTCAGGACACTGCTTGTAAAGGAAAAATTTCTTATAAAAACAAGTAAGTCCAATAATAGAAAAGAGAACTCACAAAGTACCTCTCTGTCATCGTCTTTCACATTCACAAGAGTATGAAATTTTCCCTGAAGTGCAAATGCTTTCTCCTTACTGAGATGGAGGAATACTTCTAAAGTGACTGTGTGAAACTGACACCCTGTTACTCACGAGATCTGTGCCCTGTATGTATTCAGGGTAATAAATGTTCATTTTATTGACAGAAATGTTTTTACTGATTTTATTCTGGTTAGTCCCACAGAGACAATATTACTATACATGTTAATAGTTCCAAATACAAGGTCATATTCTGGGATGAAGCATTACCAACTCTAACTTCTATGAACTTCGCAGTATGTATTTTGCATATCTATACCTATTCCACCAACACTTTGAAACACATTCAATCCCATGGAATGCCTGAAGGATTCAGCAAAAGGCAGTTAAAATATAGCCCACCCACAAACAGCATCAAAATAATGCTCACAAAAGAGTTTGCCTGGGACAGCACAAAATCAACTCAATTTAGAAATTTATTAGCGTATTTCCAGGTAAAACCAAACAATATGAACACAAATCTGATCTGTCTAATAAAGCAAGGCTAAAAGCCTTGTTATTCAGGCTTCCTCCATAGAAACAGCAGGATCTATTTCAGAATTAACCACAAACCACAGCAGATATGAGTACACTAAGATCTGAACTAGCCCTAGCAATTAATGAGTTCAGATATAGCATTTCAGCAGAATGGCTGTAGTTTGCCCAAAAACAATATTTAGAATATCTCTAGCTGCTAGTGTTTTTATTAAAGCAGCCCTGGGAATATTCTGACACAGACAGATGAAGCAGCAACAGATAAGAGAAGATGTTTAAAGTTCTCTTGCCTGCCTCAAACTAGTATGAGAACATCAAAAGGACAGGATTCAGAGCCAAAACGTGGGACTGCTTCAGTAGTTGAACACCTTTTCAACTCAGGGTACGTCTACACTAGCTCCCTATAGTTCAAACTAGGGAGGCTAATGAGGGTGACCGAAATTGCAAATGAAGTGCGGGATTTAAATATCCTGCACTTCATTAGCATGTTCCCTGGCAGTCGCCATTTTGGAAACTGACTAGCCCGGAATAACTGCCAGCGTCTACATGCGATAGAGAAGCGCGATTCCGAGATAACAGTTAAACCTCATTCGAACTAAGAGGTTTATCTCGGAATCACGCTTCTCTGCCACATGTAGACGCGGGCAGATATTCCAGGCTAGTCAGTTTCCAAAATGGCGACCGCCCGGGAACATGCTAATGAAGTGCAGGATATTTAAATCCCGCACTTCATTTGCAATTTTGGTTGCCCTCATTAGCCTCCCTAGTTCGAACTAGAGGGCTAGTGTAGACGTATCCTCAGACAGTATTATGGAATCATATTTTCAGCAAACAACCCTATTCAGCTCACACCTCTGTGAGAATTAAGAATACTCCGGTTTAATGTCTAAACAGCAAAGGAAGTTACCTAAACTTTATAAAGTTACTGAAATGGGTAACCTATACTTGAACAGAGCACAGTCAGGAAAAACACATCAAAAAGGAAAATATATTCTGCTCATATTTTCAATAATATTAAATTCAGATTTCAATGTGACAAATTCAAAGCTTAAATACCTATTAATACTGCAATAAATACATTTTATTTTATTAGGGTGCTGTAAATACACCAAGTAGCAAAAGAACAAGAGTCAGATCTTGATAATTCAGTTGGCCAGACCTAAATTACAATAGGACTGAATCAGACTGTGGACTTAAAAAAAATCCCTTTCACTTTATTTTCCTTCATGTTTGATTTATTGAGCTCTATTGTTTTAACATAATAGATAAACCAACTACATTTACAATACAAAGAAAAAATAATCTATATAATACCTCTAATCGCTGTATTCTTCCCTTAAAGAACATAAACAGAGAAGAATTTGGATAAGCAGCTTCTTTTTTCAGAAGAATCTCTTTAGCCTCTTTCAGTCCTGCCTTGTTATCACTGCCATCCAAAGCAAAAAAGGGACGAACTACTGTGTGGTACCATAGTAAAGCTAATCTGAAAGAAAAAACAAGAAAAATGATGATTACAGTCCGTTCACAGCATATGAATCTATTATAAGATGAAGAGCATGAGTATTCTCTTGCTTGTCCTGGCTTTAAACCAGTGTCCTCTATTGACAAACAGATTACTTCAAAATTACACCACAGTATACAAAAGTAAAATGAGGCTCACAATTTCCAAAGTATTGGATGATTTGGGTTTTTTAAATCTCTAGAACTAAGAACAAGATAATTACTTTTAAAAGTTAAGTTTGTAAAAACACTGTAAGGCAAACAGCAATTAAAGATGTGAGGGAAAAGGGGAGATACTGAGCTTGCTATTCCAAAGTGTTGACAAACAACTGACCTAGATCAGACTCACTGTGGTTGAGATCAGGAAATGCTCGTTTCCTGGGCCAACTGACAGGAGAAACACCAAGAAAGGATAGTATTCTCAATTTTCACACAGAATGTGTTATGTCAAAATTACTAGAAGAATGAATCTTCAAGGAATGTTAAATCTGATTATTAGATCAGTTTCTTGTTCTGTCCAGCATTCAAAGCTTGGTTCTGCTCCTGTTAAGTCAAGAGGGCTTTTGGCTTTGACTGCAAGGGAAGCAGGATCAGACCCAACCCTGGCCAGTCCTAAGCTCACTCTGATCCTTCTCTCCAAGCAGAAAGGGTTTAGCGTGACACTGTAGACTTACGGCTATGGGAAACTGTAGTTCCTATGCAACCCCGATAGTAAAGGAATGAATTTTGCAGCATTGAAGAGTAAAAAGACCTTCATGAGGAGCTGTAAATTAAACCTGGGTGAAAACTAAACCATAACAAATAGCAGAATGCAGCATGAAGAGTCACGAAATCTTGTTATGAGGGATGCCCACCAAAGGCCAATATACTGAATACCCTTTTTGTGTGTAAAAAGCTCCAATGCTCCCAAATTTTTGCACAAGGAAAACAGACAGATAGAAAAAAAAGTCATCATATTAAAATAAGTATATATAATGAGCAGGTAGACATTTATGGTTTTTATGACATGGACATTCTCCCTGGCAGACACTGTAAAATAGTAAGCTATTTAAATATTTCAGCTGTGTTTTTTAGGAAAGCGGTTACATTATTCTGTTTTAAGTGCAATAATTTATCCCATCATAGAAACTATTCAATGATATAATAAAAAACTTCAGGAGAATACCCTCAACACAATCTAAATCTAAATATTTTAAAGAAGTCAATAAAAAGGTCTCATTATAATAGATCAGATTTAATAAAAATCGGAAAGCTTTTTACCTGCTATTTCCTTTAAAGCAACATGCTTTTTATTTTTTGTTTCTCTGTTGTTCATTCTCACTACTAAGTTATCTACCAAAGAATTTCAATATAGCTACTCACGTAGCTAAAGGGGCCTTCATGTCCTTACTTTCACTTGCATACATCAGTGATGAAAGCCCCTGTAGGCGGTCTCCAGGAAAACCCAGCAGATTGATGATTTTGAGCAGGTTTGGGGGCACCATGGATATGCAAAGATGAAAAAGTCCATATCCAAAGCTAACAGCACCTTTCAGTCTGTTTAGCGAATCCTCCGTTACACCTTCTGCAGCAATATGATTATCATTTGCAGCATCAGAAGTCAAGGATTCCTGAGTTATCTTCTTTTGATATATTTCCTGAAGCATATTAATGTCCATGTAGCATTTATTGTAAATTTTCCAGGCTTTTCGAAGGATCCACCCACCTTTTATATATGCTGAAAACAGAAATAAAATCGCTCTCAATGGTTGCCTACAGAGAAAAGCTAACAAAAAAAGTCATAAACAGTCTTTTACAGAATGACAATTAATACAATTTCTCTTTATTTGAACTGATTTCACTTCACCACTACAAAAACGTTCTGTAGGGTTTATAGCAATTGATAGTCTGTTACCTTGAGATTATCTAATTAAAATAAAATTTTAAAGGAATACTATCACATACCTTTGGCCGAAAACCTGATTTGTTTTGTAGAATATATAATGTAGGGGGAAAAGTTAATAGTAATAATGCTATGAGTTTATAAAGTACTTTTTAGGCAAACTTATGGTACAGTTACTCCCTGTAGCAGGCAGGCAAACAAGGATGATGCAGACAAATAGAAAAATAAACAATGCTAGCCTCTGCTACTTTACCAACACATGGTGTGGAGTAGGGGGAATGTAGTGTCTAACAAATGGAAAGCAGCAAAAAATTAAACATTTTCCTGTTTCAGTTTAATTCCAAATGGTGTTGAAATAATAGAGAATGAAGAAAAAAAATACCAAAACTTTATCTAGAGTAGATGACAATTTTTATAACTTATTTGATTTTTTTCCCAACTGTATTCCAAAATGTTTTGCACAATTAAATAGTGACTCATAAAAAAGACGACTATTAAAAAGTATGAAAGAAGAGGAATGTGAAGCAGTGAAATGAGAGCAAGAGCTGCCAAGATGTATGGGAAGTGCATTTGAGACAGCAGAATATACAAGGAAGAGTTAAAAACTAAAAGTGGAAACTTGTATGATTGGGCAGAGAAGAGACACGTGCTCAACAAGTACCAGGGAAGTTAAACACAGGTTGCAGTTAATGAATGGACAAGGGAATAGTTCTGAACTTGAATTGTTGAAGGATTTGAGTTTATACTACCATTCTTTGTAAGCATAAGAATGTAGACAATGATCCCACTGCATGTTTGAAGAGTTGGGCATTGAAGTGATACAAGAGCAGAGATGCAATCTACAATATATATTTGAGAGAGTTTGTGCATTTGGCTGTACGTCTGTCCATCTGTGAGTTACTTTGTTCAGCTCAGATCAAATTGGTATACAGCTTCCTCTTATCATAACTTAAATTATGGTCAGGATTTGACTGTGCCAGAATAATAGGTGGTGTGTGGAATGTGAATGTTTCTCATCAAGTGGAAAGGGAGGGTGTGATAGCAGGGAGAGTTGTACTCACAAATGACTACAGTGGGCAGCAAGCACAAGGGACAATTATACCCCTGAATGATCACCGGCAGGGAGAGGGGTGGCAGCAAGGGCCCTAGCCCTAGGGAGCAGCCATCTGCTGGCCAGCATGGCTTCTGCTACCCTGGGCAGACCTTAGGCCAACCCCAGGGAGCAGCTGCTAGCTGGACCACATGGTACCTCTGCTGCACTGGAGAGAAGGTGCCAGGCACCCCCAGCCCCTCCCTTGAGTGCTCCCATACCTCCCAACTCCCTGCCCTGACTTCTGCACCCCCCCCACCACATGCCCTGATTCCCTCCACTCCCTACTCTGACTCCTGCATCCTCCACCCTGAGCCCGTCATCCCCCAACACTCCCAAGCTTCCAGCCTGAACCCCTCTTCACCCTCCAAACCAAAACTCTTGCATTCCCCCGTAACTCCAGCCTCCTGCGCCCTGAGCCCCGCACAGCCACCAAGCCCCTGCCCTGACTCCTACACCCCCACAACCCCAACTCCTTGCCCTGAAGGACCTGAGTATCTCCAGATTAGTCTTCTAGTAGTCCATACAGGAAGAAATGTAAGCAAGTATTTATGTGGATACTGTTGTAGGTAGAGGGATAAATAGATTCTTAGACACAAAATTCAGTATCCAGGATTATACCAATTTTACAGAGTGTAAAGACAAATAGGGACATGAAACAAAAAAGGAGGTCTGGAACAAAAAAGGAGGTATGGAGACTAATCTACTCTCTCCGCATATTTGTATATTATTGTATTATTCTTGACAAAAAACCCCTCTCTGCGCTTACAAAAGGAAATAGAGGAGAAGGATTTGTGAAAGAATTCTCAACTACCCTAACCACCCTTACACACTGGGTTCATGAAATGGAAATAAAGTCACAAGCTTACTTTAGTCCTGGTCTACAATAGGGAATTATTTCAAAATAACTCCCCTTATTTCAAAATAACAAGCAGCGTGTCCATACTACCAAACCCGTTATTTCGAAATAAGGGCCTGGTTATTTCAAAATAACTCCTCCTTTCTCTGGGGAATAAGCTTATTTCTAAATAGTTATTTCGGGAGCTATTATTTCAAAATAAGTTATTTCAAAATAATTTCCTAGTGTAGACATGCCCTTACAATATTCAGGGTGATATAATTGCACAAAGCATTAAAAATTATGTTTGGGCTCTCCATAAGAAGCCATGCGCAGACAGAAGAATAACTCATATTGGGTACTGAGTGAAGGAATGGGAGATTACTATAATACTAGGAAATGTCCAAAGCTAGTCTGGACAGGGACTTACAGAATTTTCAGTCAGCAGGCTTTATAGATGAAGTCACAAGAGATCAACATTCTGTATACAGTTCTATAAGGTGCTGCAGAACAGCAGATTAAAGGTGAAATTCATGTTTTTTATTTCCAAGACAAACCAGAGATCTGAATCTGTTCTATCATTGTTAATATTAACAGCACCATATACTGTGCCAAATACTGAATTCCCTATATTGTTTTAAGTATTAGTGATATCATGAGCTGTAGCAAGGGAAACAGATTTGAGGGCCTGATCACAGATTTTAGCAGGTAAATAAAGGTTTTTAAATAAAGTAAGTTCTATGTCTATTATATTGAACTAAGGCGCTCGTTGGAAATAAATACAAAAATAATTTAATTAAGATCAGATTTCTAATCTCCAATTGCTTTGTTCAGCAGAGCACTTCAGGGCTGCAACAGACCTCCTGGGTTTTAAGCTTTTTTACTGTGTGTGTTGCCAAATGATGGTTTGTTGGGTTTTTTTTAATACTATCTCAACAGGAAAAATGAACTTATTTATTGTAATGAAATATTACAGCCACAACCATGATTCAGCTATATTGCAAAGCTAATGTTACTTCAGTTTTCTGTAATTAGGGCACCTTTTTGATGCATAAAATATTCAGTACTTTTGTGGTTTGCCATAGTACAAGTGATTGTACAACTCTCTATAATAATGCAGTAGGCATAGAGCAAGGAGAAAGAAACAAGCCACATTTCACTCATCCCCGCAGACTATGTTTTGGTTAGTGCCTTTGATAACATCACTGCATCCCTGATGCATACATTGCAGAACATCATTCTTCATGCTTACCAAGGTACCACACTTTTAAAAAAATGTCTGAGAAAAAAAGCACATCTGCTGGTATGCTAACGTATATTAAAACCCATAAATCTCAGCCTTTATTTATTCAAAATGTGGATTATTTAACTCTGAAGACATCTGAGTTGAGCTTTCCTGACATTAACTATTAATGGATTATCTGTGCTATGACTGCAGTGATTCGTTTGAATTTTTAAATCTCTGCAACAATGTTAATGCACCTAAGTACCAGACCAATAGACTTGTTTTATAAATTTAGTAAGATGAAAACAGCTAAAATATGTGTAGGAGAGGGGTGATGGTTTATAACTCTTAGTTCAAGGAGTCACTTAAAAGCAAATTGTTCATAAGACTCAAATTGTTCAGCAAAGAGTCACTGATTCAAAGAACTGATCAACTTACACATGAAGATTTTATTTCGATAATTTGGTTATCTTCCTATGCAAAAGTCTAGGCCTAATACCATACAAACTAAATATGTATGTAACAACAAAAAACTAACCCATCTAAAAGCTGGATTTCTAAATAATTAGCGGGTGACCGATTCAACTGGTCAGCAGTTCACTCTCTTAGGGTATGTCTACACTACCACCCTAGTTCGAACTAGGGTGGTAATGTAGGCATACCGCACTTGCAAATGAAGCCCGGGAAATTCAAATCCCGGGCTTCATTTGCAAGTGCGATATGCCTACATTACCCCGCTAGTTCGAACTAGCGGGGTAATGTAGGCATATCGCACTTGCAAATGAAGCCCGGGAAATTCAAATCCCGGGCTTCATTTGCAAGTGCGATATGCCTACATTACCCCGCTAGTTCGAACTAGCGGGGTAGTGTAGACATACCCATACTGAGAAGAAACTGGTGAATCACAGAGGCAGCCCTTAGCATCAGGAGAGTATAGCTTAAGATTTCAAATTTATGTTTCTGAGTGGACAGACTGAGCTGTGCTGTAAGGTCTTTTCTATCCCGAGTTGTTACATCTGCTGCTTCAGCACTATCAACAGCAGACCAGAGGAGGAGAGGAGACCCGAAAGCTGAGAAAACGGTCAATCAGATGCTGCAATGCAATTATGGTATAAATGCTGAAAGGAGGGAACATTTCAAAGGAAAAATAATTAGCAAAAAGAGTGAATGAAAGCCAAATACTGCCCTGTTGGAGTACCAAGAAATCCTAAATTGGTTTGCAGCTAATTGGTATGAAGTGTTGTTGTATCTATGTTGGTCCCAGGCTATTGAGACATGATGGGTGAGGTATTATCTTTTACTGAACCAACTTCTGTTCAAGAGAGATAAGCTTTTGAGCTCACAGAGAGCTTAAGAAAAGATCTTGTAAATCTGAAGGTATGTTTCACCCACAGAAGTTGGTCCAATAACAGATTACGTCACCCATTTTATCTCATCTTATTGGTACAGGCAACAATAGTCCCTTATTTACAACCATGCAGACTGCAGAAATACTGAAAGTTCTGGTTTTGAATAGGTATTTCCATAATGAAAGGACCTATGCTCTCAACCAATGACATTTACATTATTCTAATTTTCATTGGGATGTTACTTCTTGAATTTTCTTCAGTAATTCTCCCTCAGTCTTTAATAATATAAGCAAATACTTGGGAGCATGATCAGTTAGCACATAATCTGGATCAACTTTCTGTATAAATTAATGGGGAGAGGAATGTCTTTCAATGCAATGAAACCTCAAAATAGTTTTACAGCTGAGACAAGGAGAGGTTTGTGTTCCCTAAATCAAGATTAATTTCTGTGGCAAGCAAGTACCTGAAACTGTCATGCTCCATGGTTTAATAATAGAATCTTTAGTGCATTAGAAGTTTAAAGTGTTCAGTCAGCTTTTCCATCTGTAGCACTATACTTGTTAATTCAAAATCACTTTAACCAGAAATTTCTTGCTACCTCCCCCACTTCCGGAACAGGAATGCAAACAACTGTATGGGTGGGGGAGGGACAGGCATGAGTCTGGTCCCATTTCCTGGGCTTTGTAGGACAGAATTTTTTCATACAGTTGTAGCCAGTATAATATAGATGTATAAGGCATCTACATATCTTTGTAGTGATTCCTGAGGTGCCTCCATGAGGATATGCAAAGTATTCTCAGGCATATATAAGGAGAGACAGTAGAATGCTCGATATTGGTATAAAAAGAGAATGCCCTAATTTATACAAATTAAATATACATTATTTAAAGGCCCTACTATATATCTATGCATACTTATGTGAAAAGATATCATATATATTTTAAATTTGTATTTAGGATTAAAGTTGCCTTGTTTTTGGACTACTGAGACCCAATTTTTAAAACTACCAAAAAACTGTCAAAAGAACCTGCAAATATACCCTTTTACCAGCAAAACCTTCTATTTCCATATGCAGCTGAATAATTGCACATAACTATTGGTGCATGCGCACATATAAATCTGTATGAACAAATATAGGGGTTTAGGCACAAATCAGTTTTGAAAAATTTAACCCCCATTTCAAATGCAAAGTGTCTCTTTACTCACATCGATAAAGATGGTTGCTTTGTGTGAATCATTCTCGCATTTTAGAAATCAGAAATTAATATTCCCTCTACATGCCATGGGAAAATAAAAACTAAAATATTATTATAGTCACACCACACCTGACAATTCCTGTTTTACAAAAGAAAGCACAGCCAGATAAACCTGACAGTCTGCTACAATTATCTGTCTCTGTAGTCGATCCATCATGGATTGTGCAGATTTTCGGCCATCAACCTGTTTGAAATATATAAAAGCAGGGTGTAAAACTAAATTATTTTAATTTCAAATTAAACTCTTAAATATTGCACAGATTGTATTAAATCACATAATTTATATTGTATGAATTTTTCAATTTTGACTGCTGGTACACAGGAAACCTTGATTTTTCAGCAAGTAGTTAAACATTCTGTATGGCAACTGTAATAATCTGAGAGTGTGAGTGTGATGAGACTTGGGGTGCACACAGCTCGCAGCTCCCTTCCTCTCTCCCCCTTCCCCCGGAGCACCAGGAAGGAAAGAGGGGAGGAGGCTGCGTGGCTCCGGCCCCGCCCCAGCACTGGGGGGGCAGAGAGGACATAGATCTTTCACTTTGTCTGAGCAATGCTCACCACCCTTTTTCTGTAACAATAACCCTCAACTTGTCCATAAAGTATCATTTTATACAATTGTGAAAGTCTAATGGCATAACAAGTTCAGGTAATGATAAAGCCCATGTAAAGGTGCATCTTGGGAAGATTAGATTATTACAAAAAACTGCACAAGAGATTCAACTAGGCCCACTAGTGGCAGAAGACAGCATATTTTCTTTTACTACATATTGTAGGTAATGCTGCTCACTTTGGCTGGTGAATTCCCTCCTCAGATTCTTCTTAGAGTGCATTCCTCTTCTTTTGGGTTAAGGTGTTACATTTATTTACACTAAAATCTTTTTGTATACTACACTTTCCTCAAAAAGTGACAGTTGCTCTAGTTAGGTAAGATGAAATTACAAAAGTTTCAGAGGTAGCCAAGTTAGTCTTTACAGGATAAACTGTAACAACAAATAGTCTGATAGCACTTTAAAGACTAACAAAACATGTAGATGGAATCATGAGCTTTCGTGGGCACTTCTTCAGATGACCAGAGTGTTGGATGTCCAGAACGAAAATAAATAGGGGAGGAGGAGGAAAGAAGGAGCTTGCCCCTCAGGAGCACATGATTTTAACATCTGTAAATGGCATCTTGAAATGTTCAGCAATATGTTCCTGCATGTGTAAGCCTAATGATAGAACTAAAAAGGTCCTCATTGTGGTCAAGTCCTGATGGCGCATGCATAGATCAATACTCTTAACCAGGGCTCGATGAACCACGGCGAAATCCACTTGCCAGCCCCGCATCGCACATGCGCCAGACCTGCACTGCGCATGCGCGCACCACCAGTGAACGGGGTGACTGGTGACCATGGACAAGTTGATAGGCAGATTTGTTGAGCCCTGCTCATAACTATGATGTTTCCATAAACTTAAACAACAAATAGTCTGGTAGCACTTTAAAGACTAACAAAACATGTAGATGGTATCATGACATTTCGTGGGCACTGCCCACTTCTTCAGATGACCGGAGTGTTGAATGTCCAGAACTAAAATAAATAGGGAAGGGGGGACGGCAGAGAAGAAAAAAATGGGGGGTGGGAGGAATAAGAAGAGGCAGTGGGTATAAAAATATCAAGGGGAAAGCCAAGTTGGAATGTAACAGGAAATACATATAGTCTATAAGCACCTGATAGTCAAAAGAAGCCGATAAGAACCATTAGTAGGCAAATAGAGAAGAAGAGTACTAACACCAAATTACAAGAATCTGAAAATTCGTCTTTTCCTTATAGGACCTGATTCTGCTCTCACTGCAGCGAGAATCGGACATAACACTGAAATCCCTTCTCTATCACTGATTACATAACCTTGGACAAATCACTTCACATTTCTGTGTCTGTTTTGCGTAATTTAGAGGGTACACTTTTCAGGGGGAAAAATGCATCTTATTACATGTTTGTACAGCACAATAGAACCCTAATCCAAAAGTCTTGTTTGTGATATTTCTGACCCAGGAACCCCTTAGTGCCAACTAACAGAGGGTATAAGGCAGGGGCAGACAAGATGTGGCCCATGAAGCTTTTGAATCTGCCCCCCCCCCCACCTGCATACAGCACAGAAACCAAGATGGTGCAACCATCCGCTTTTGAGCTGCCTGGGACTGCGGCAGGCAGGGAGCCTGCCTGAAGATCCTGCTGGGCTGCTGGCCAGGAGCAGCCTAGGTAAGTGCCTCTGAGCCAGAAGCGGCACCTGGCAACCCCGCCCCCCCGCCACACACACACCAACACCCTGCCCCACGTCACCACCCAAGATTTCTGCACTTCCCCCTCTGCCCCAGGTCACAACTCCCTCCCAGACCTGCACCCCTTCCTACACCTCTCCCCTGGTCAGAATCCTCTCCTGCACCTCCCACCGTCCCAACCATGCAATCCAATCCCCTGCCACAGGTCAACACGCCCCCCTTCACCCAAACTCCCTCTCATACTCCCAACTCCCTTTCCTATGCCCCAGTCTCTACCCCAAGCTCCCTTCTACACCCAACTTCCACCCCAGACCCTGCACTTCCTCCATAGAAAAGTGTGATCTTTGACCATTTATCAAAATCTTGGCATGCTCCCCCCCCCAAAAAAAATTATTGTCCAACCCTTGCATAAGAGTCTGATGTCTACATAATGACGTACTGAAGAGCGGCATGTGGAGTCTCTACCAATAGCCAGTAATACAGTGGTCATCCAATCATTGCCAGATGCATGTGCAGATGTTATTTAAGGAATCAGGTACCTATACTGAAAATTAAGCTCTTAAAAGTATGGGTGACAGATTCTGTTCAGGGGGAGAGCGGAGCAGTAAACATTTATCTCCCTAGTTGGTCACATGAAAGATCTACAGGAAATAACAAAACACACGTCATATTGTTTATGAGTAAAGACAACTTTTTGGGCTATACCTGGGGATATTGCAGTACACTCTGGGTCCCTCATTAAGAAGATGGATTGTAAGCGTGCTCTGTACGCATAGAGCCAACTAGGCTAGAAAATACTGCAAGACTTTAAGGGAGTTAAACTTCATTAGACAAGAAAAGTATCTTGTTAATTAAATCTAGGCTCTAAAAGGCATTAGGATTTTATTTTATATGTAAACATTTGTTTCCAATACTTTCACTTGCTACCTCTAGAATCTGTAATCTTTGTTAAATAAATATGTTCAGTGAAAGCAAGTAAAAGCTCAAGTGTAACTTTTGTGCATTAAATGGAGTGGTGATCTTCAGGTAAGCAATGAATTTGTCAATTTTTGAAATTCTGGGACACTCCAAGGGGATACTCAGGGAGCACAGGGGTTGGAGTGTACCTAGCTCTCATCTGTAGAGACAACAGGGTCTGCATAGATCTAGAGCAGTGTTTCTCAAAGTGGACCACGGGCTCACTTTTGGAAAGCTGCTAGTGGGCCTGCTCCACTTTGTTTACCTAAAAGGTTCATAGCAACGGAGCCTTATGGCTCCCATTGGCTCCAGTTGGCCATTTCCAGCCTAGGGGAACTACGGAAGTGGCAGCCTGGGCCATGCTGTTTCCCGTGGTTCCCCTTGGCTGGAAATGGCAAACCAGAGCCAATGGGAGCCACAAGGCTCCTTGGCTATGCACCCTTTAGGTAAAAAAAAGTGGCATGGGCCACAGCCCATTGTGAGGAACGCTGGCCTAGAGTGCTGGTGTTGCCTGTGGTTAATGAGACTGGAAAGCTAACCCCTGGAAAGCACAGACAAGCCTTCCTCATTCTAACAGCAGGCAATAGTGAGGTGCCTCACAACCCTGGCTACCCCTAAAAAGTGTCACAAGGTATTACAATATGTATAAACTAAACAAATAATTATCCAGAGTAATCAAACTGCATGCTTCCTGAAAGAAATTCCAGATGGTCCCTTGAAGGGTGCATGCTGAGAGCACACAATATTTCTTGGAAGTAATCACAGCTCTTCTGTAGAGTCACAAATTCCCTGTATAAAATTTTTTAAAAAAATCAGACTCCAGGTGGCTCCTCAGATAACTTCATCTCAATATAGCCCAATTAATTAAATTCCTAGAGCTCATCATTAATTCCCAATCATGGCATCCAGACACCAAAGTCACCAGGTTACAGTGAGGAACTAGAGTGAAGAGCCTCCTCTAACAGCTGATAAATGCAGCTGGTAACCTGATGGAAATGTCATTTGGGAGGGTAGATCAGGCATGCTTCATCAGCAGAGACCACCACACATCTGTGAGGTTATGACTTAAAACCTGGCTCTGATGCCAACCTGGGTATAGGATAGCCTCTGCATTAAAATGGAAGAGATGATGACTGGGCCACCCAACAATATTCAGAATATCCAGGTCCTGCAGAAGACAACTCAGGCTTATGGGAACTGTCCACATCTCTGTGTTGGGGGGAAGGGATAGCTCAGTGGTTCGAGCATTGGCCTACTAAACCCAGGGTTGTGAGTTCAATCCTTGCAGAGGCCATTTAGGGATTTTGGGGCAAAAATTCATCAGGGATGGTACTTGGTCCTGCTGTGAAGGCAGGGGACTGGACTTAATGACCTTGCAAGGTCCCTTCCAGCTCTAGGAGATAGGCAATCTCCATTATTAAAAATTAAAAACCTAGGAATTCAATATGCCAGGCTCTAGCACATCTGAACTGACAATGTCATGCATACTGAAATTTTAGAGAACAAGCCACCAGGATTCCCAATAGCAGTTCTGACATAACTCACTCATGAAAACCAGTCTTGAATGCCAAAAACAAGATGGCTAGAAGGAAGTTTTCACAAACAGTTGCACACAATACACAATAGCTAATATTTTACAGATACTCCACTTACATTCCTTTTAATTTTATTCTTGATTGTTTCTATAACTCCAGCTTCTTCACTCTCACACAGTTTTTCTGTGGCCTTTAAATCATCACAAGCCAACTGCATTTTCTCTTCTTCAAATGTCATCATGGCATTCTTCCAAATAAAACAAAATGGATTAGAAAGACAAAATAATAAAAACAATTAAATCAGCTATTGGTGCAGAAACTACAGAAAACCCCCACAAAATTAAAAAAAAAAGTTAGGATTAAATTGCACTTGACTCATGTAGTATATACACATAGCTAGCTATTTATACACCCCTGCCCAATTGCATCCAAGCATGCCTCACTAAAATGTCAAGAAAGTGAAATCAGAAATTATTAGTCGATTCTCTCTCTCTCTCGAGAGCTGAATGTTTAATATACAAGTGAACAGAAAATACTGTCATATTACATTAGCTGAGAAACTAATTACATTATATAAATTCATTTTCTATTACTGTTATACAAGATGCAATTTGCGTCTGTGCACATACTATTTTCTATAATTTATCCACAGAAATACCATGCCTCAAAGTCAAGAACAAATAAAACCTAATGCATTATGAGCGATAATGAGCAGAATCCCTATACTTGTGGTTAACGTCAGTTCAGCTTCCATTAAACCTACCTAAAGAAAGTCACAGGACAACGGACTTCTTTTTCTGATGCTTTTGTCTAATGGAAATTCTGAATGACATAGGCATGCAAAGTGCTGTAGCTATCTTTAGAACAGTAACTAAGCAGAAGCTTTTCAAGGTGCAGTGATGCTGTACTGTGCTGTTACACTGGTTCCGTGAACCAGCTCAGATGAGCAAGCCTAAAAATTTCATCATGTTGGCCTAAGGCAAGAGGGAAAAAGCCTCCTACTTAATATGCCTTTCCAAGTTACATAGTCCACAGACTGAGATGTTTAAATTAATGTACAAAAATGCATTTCTGGAATAACGATAAATGAGATTTAGGAATTAACAGTTTATTATAGAAGAAAATTGTAATTATTTTTTTAAATGAAGTAAGATAATCTCTTTGGATTTTGCTTTTAATGGAACATTTAAATGATGTTTCATATATTTGAGATGCTGAATTTATAGAATCTTTTACTCCCAATTAAAACACAAAGAAGCAAAACAAGTTACGATTCTATATATACACACACAACATCATGAGTTATGCACACTTTAAAACTACATTAATATTCTGAAAGAGTTGAGCCTCACAGGAAAAAAATAAATTACAATATGTACCAATACATACAAGGAAATTAACAGTGAGATGAACACACTCCACCAATTTGTTCACCCACTTACCAAAAAACTAACGAAACTGGCACCAAAACTCATTAATGGACTGTGGTTTCTGTCAAAAAACAAAAATATAGTTATATGTAAACATACATGTTACCATAATAAGCACTGGGAATAAATCTGCTTCACTACATCAAATTCTGAAATCAAAATGGTTTTTAATCCGCCACTATATCTTCATGCAAACAAACAAACAAACAAAAAATCAGGAAGCCAAAAGCTAAGTCCATTGTATCAAGAGGTCAGCATACTTTTTCTAGGGATGTTAAATTTAGTTTAATCAACTAATTGACTAGTCGATGGATTTTCCATCAACTATTAGTGGATAAGCTGGGGAGCCATAGCGGGCTTAGCTCCCAGCCCCAGGAGCTAACCCCGTTGCAGCTCCGCCTTTTAAATGCATTATGAGCCAGCATACTCTTAATTAATTTAAAAGACTGGAGTGCAGCAGGGGTGAGAGGGACCTGGCATGAGCCAGTAATCAGCTGTCTTGGCTCGCGCCAGGTCCCTCCGCTGCACTTCTGATTTTAAAATTTATTGAGACAGCATGCTCTTAATACATTTACTTAATACATTTAAAAAGCAGAGGCGCAGCGTCTAAGACTGGGCTCAAGCTGGGAATCTGGAACTGGGTGTGTGCCCTACTAGTTGCTACGGGAATGACTAGTTGGCTATTAGATAAGCCACTTACATCCCTAATTTTTTCAAAAAATATATTGATTGCATTTTCAATTTACTCATCTAAAATATAACTAATCAGTGATAAGATGTTTAAAAAAAAAATCTATTGTTATTGCCAAAATATATCTAGTACTGATTAATCTAGTACTAATTACATGAAAAACTATACAAGTTTGATGCACTCAAACTGTTCATCTTTTTGGTGGTTGTGTGAAAAATATACTTGTCCTGTCATATAAATGTTAACTGGTTCCATTTAAAAAGTTGTATTTGCTTTTAATTGAAATATCATAATTTGAAAGAAGTGGATACATGCTTTCTCAAGGACAAAAAGGCACAACATGGAAAGAATTCAATATAATTCTCTATGGTTATGTCTGCACTGGCAGCTTCTTGCGGAAGAACAGCCATTTTTCCACAAAAACTTGCCGGCTGTCTACACTGTACGAGCATTCTTCCAGAAGTAAATTTACAGTATAGCGTTGTAAAACAGGGCTTCTTCCGGAAAAGTTATTCCTCTCCCCACGAGGAATAAGCCCTCTTACGCAAGAACTGTTCCAGAAGAGGGCAAGGTAGACAGGAAGCATGAATTTCTTGCGCAAGAAGCTCCTACAGTTAAAATGGCCATCAGAGCTTTCTTGTAGAAGAGTGCGTCTACACTGCCATGGATGCTCTTGCGCAAAAGCACATGGCAGTGTAGACACTCTCTTGTGGAAGAGTTTTTGCACAAGAACTCTTCTGCAAAAGAGTTCTTGTGCAAGAAGCTGCCAGTGTAGACATAGCCTATGGATTTGATTCATCCCTACCAGTACAAGAAGTGGCAACTGCAAATTTCTGTCTTTCAGGGTCTCTGCAGTGCCACTGATCCTCCATTTGGCTTTGGGCAAATCATTTATTTTCCCCATGTATAAAGTATGTAAATATATCAGTAAAGCTAGAATGGTTTGTGTTGCTCTCAGAAATCCAAGATGTCATTATGTCAATACAGGTTTTTCAAAGTTTACCCATGTTTTACTTTATGTATCTTATGTAACCCATAAAAATCAATAAGCTTAGGGGAAGCAAGAGAGGAAAAGGACAGAGGGAAATGCAAAGGAAACAAGAACTGAAAAACCTACACCTCAAATAAATATGATTGTGTGTTGATAAGTTTGTAAATATAAACTAGGAGTATTAAAAAACAGTTAATTAGGTAACGGTTAAAAATCTTAGCTGCTACATGCTGCAGGCTCTGCAGTATAAAGCTTATACTGCACAACCCACAACGTAGCCAGCTTCCCGGGAGTGGGGCCAGCAGCCAGTGCACACTGGGAGCCAGTTGCCTGTCATACTCCCAGGGACATGGTTGTGCTGTGGTCCCTGCAGTATAAGCTTTCTACTGCAGAGCTCACAGTGCGGGATGGCAGCCAGTTCCCAAAAGCTGGTGTGCACTGGAAGCTGACTTGTAAGCCAGTTCCCAGCATGCACAAGCTCCTGCCTGCTGCCACACTCCCAAGGAGCTCTCTGCTGCCCCGTGGTGCTAGCTCTGATACAGAACCAGCAGTGCTGGGTGACAGACGGCTCCCTGGGAGCGGGATCAGGAGCCAGTGTGTAACAGTAACCAATAAGTTCATACTTACCGATTAACCGTTTAAACTGTTACATGCTTACTACATACTCTCATTTTGAAAATCTAAATATCTTGCTGTAGGTTTCCTCAAATAAATATTCTAACACAGGTTGAACCTCTCTAGTCTGGCACCCTCAGGACCTGACAGAATTTGCCAAGCCACAGGAAGTCAATATTGTCTAGCAGCATTATCAACACTTCCACTGCTTACTGGGTTCTTAGAGCACATTTAGGGTAAATTAAAGCTAAGTAAGAGCACAGAACACTAAAGCCAGGATTAGTGGCTCTAAACAAACTTTATGGAACCATGCGAAACTGTCATACCCACGGTAAGTGGACATCCAGATAACTAAAATCATGTCAAACCATGGATGTTGCCAGACCAAAGAGTGCCAGACTAGAGAGGCTCAACCTGTATATAAAAATCAAGAAAGGAAAGCACACACTTCAGAACAAACTTTCTAGATATTTTAATTTGCCTCTCAATAACATTCAGGAAAAACAAAGAAGCAGCCACCAGAAATATTGTTATATAGTATCTAAACTTTTGTCTAAATAGAACCTGTGTTATGGACCTAGTATCAAGCCTGCCATCATCTTGTGACCCATCTGGACTCTCAGGCAGGCTCCCTGCCTGCTGAGCCCCCATATTCTGCTCAAAGCAACTGCTACAGGGGCCATGTGTGTCTCTGCATGGCAGGGGAGGGGGATGTTGTATGCTGTCCCCATCCCAGTATAATCTTGCAGTTCCCATTGGCTAGTTTCTGGCCAACAAGAGCTGCCTGAGCTGTCTTTGCGACACAAGCAGCACACAGAGGGCCCCCTCCCAAAAGGTGTGAGGTGCACAAAGTTGCAAATAGCTCCCGCTGCCAGCCGCTCTGAGCAACATGCAGGGGTGCAGCAGGCAGGGAGCCCACCCAAAGGTCCTGCTGGGCTGCTATCTGGGAGCCACTTTCCTTCCAACTCCTTGCACCACGTCACAGCTCAAACTCCTGTACCCCACCTACACCTCTGCCTCAGGTCACAATCTCCTCCCAGACCCAGCACCCTCTCAATACGTTCCTCCTCCAGGTCAAAATCCTCTTCTGCACCCCAGTCTCCTGCCTCAGGTCACAACTTACTTTACCCAAACTTCCTCCCAGACCCCACATCCCCTCCTGCAACCCTAATCCCCTACCCTGAGCTTCCTTCTGCACCCAGCCTCCATCCCAGAACCCACACCTTCTCCATTAATATCACAGAAGAGTGTGATGCTTGACCACTTACCAAATTCTTAGAGTGGCCCCCCAATCAAAAATTACTGCCCACTCCTGGACTAGTAGAAATTAGTCACCCATGTTGTGTGTTTCCATTATGCTTCCACCTACAATTGATAAATTCCACTGAACTGCTTAAGTACTCTTCTGAATATAGAAGTATTCCTGAATTGGGGTCTTTAATTGCATTATTAGTAACTATGCACTAACATAAAGATGTTAAGAGGCGGGCAATTCATTGTTAGTCAACAGAATTTTTATCAACTACATGATTAATTGATAAGGGAAGAAACAACTCTTGTTGTGGCTCTGCAGTTTAAATGTAGTAAGAGCCGGGCGGGCAGGCAGCCCGGCTCTTACTACATTTAAACTGCAGAGTGGGGGCAGTGGTAGCTCTTGGATCCAGCGTCCCGCGCCCAGCCCCTGGCCATGGACAGGGGCAGCTGCCAAAGCATGGCGGGAGGGGAGAGAGAGTAGGCAGCACCGCAGAGATGGTGCTGAGGGGGACCAACTTTTAAGCCAGCTTCCCTCAGCACCAGCTCTTGCTTTCCCCACTCCTTGATGCCTCTGATACAGAGGAAGCAAGCTGGGGGGAATGCAAGTAGTCAACTACTTGCTTACATCCCTACACTAACCTGCAAAATACTGAATTAGTTTCTCAATGAGCAACCAATACTTCTAGCCTCATGTCCCGTCCGTCCCCCCCGCCGCATTAATCCTGCCTCTGATTAATTTTTCAGCATTTTATCCGCTGTCTCCAATTCTTTGCACTCACATAATTTCCACATTTTAATCTCATAATTTCTACCTTTTTCATTTGGGTGGGCATTTTCCCCACATCATTACCATGCCAATCCCTACAGCTGTTTACAAAAATATCATTACCCTGTGTAGTGGGTCTCTCTTTATTGCAACATATTCTCCTATGCATTGATGTTTATGCCTCCTAATCATTTTAATATTTCCTGTCATTTCATTTCATCACATCAGTTAGCTTGGTGTCCTAGCCAGAAACATAATTAAAACACTGTTATCCTCACCATTCCTTTTGAACAATAGAGAGCCATAAGAAATATAAACCACTAAAGTGTTGAAAAGAGATTTACTGAATACAAAAGAGTGCATCTCCTTTATTTGCTAATCTTCTGGAATTTAAGAGAACTAGAATGAAATGTGCATCCATAATTTATTATTTTTTTAAAAACAATGTTGGGGGAAGATTTTCTTAAACACTCAAAGGGAAATGAACTTTTATCATCTTTAAAACAGTTTGCAGAATTGCAGAGGGAGGGTGCTACGATTGCTTACCCTATTGCCTTTTGCTTTTTTCCCTCCCAAACTACTCTTGTGAAGATCATGTTGCTGTGTATTTTTCAAGTGAACATAAAAATTGCTTTTGTTCCATGTTTCTTAAAAAATTACTTACTTAAATTCCATGTTTTAAGATGACTATGTCAAGTAGTGAAAACAATCCAATAGCTGAATTGTCTTCAAGAACAATTACTG